CTTTGATTAAGGTAGTATAACTATCACTTTTAATTGAAAGGCTATATTCATGAAAGCCAACCCTTCATATAGTGAAGGTATTTTCATATAATATATCTTAAAAATAACAAAATATACCTTTTCCATTAAACCCCAGTATTTTGCCTAATCAGTTAATTCTTTAAACCCTGTATGAAATGGAATTTTTGTATGCTGGAAGTAGATTCTTTTGGTAGTGTTAACAATAAAAGAGACAGATCAAGGATGTATATATTAAGATCATAAGAATGGCCATACTGGATCAGATCAATTGTCCATCTAGCCCAGAATCCTGTCGTCTGACAGTGGCCAATGCCAGAGGCTTCAGAGGGAATGAACAGAACAGAGCAATTTTGAGTGATCAGTTCCCTGTCCTCTTGCTTATGACAGTTGGAGGTTTAGGGACAACTGGAGCATGGGATGTCCCTGATCATCTTGGCTAATGACTATTGATGGACCTATTGCCCATTAATTTAGTTATTTATGGGGAAAATGAAGGTAAGGTCTGCCATCACAGGACAACAATTTTCCCATTAACAATTTACATGGAGTTTATATTCAATTACTGATATTATGATGGCACCGTTACTTTAGTAACATTTCTATCACATAGGATTTGGGTTGTCTTAGAACTGTAGTACATTCTTTTGGAGGAGCATCCATGTCATCCATGATTACAGAATGCATCATGCCATTGCTGTGTTTATGCAAATCATTTTAAGGAGCAGTCATTGATAACTTTAAGATTCTGTTTTCCATTGACAGACTTGTGGTCTTTGCCTGTTTCCTTTCTGAGGTGACAGTGCCCTCCTATGGTCAAAAACATGTATTCTTACAGAAATATTTCCTAGTGATTAGCTTTTAGCATTTATAGTCCATACTAATTGAAAAAGATGGGATTCTCCACACAGTCTAAATCATACATTCTTTTGTTCTTTTTAATTTGAAATAAAATGTTATTCCTATCTATGTCTCCATGTTTCCATACTTTTAAATCATGTTTATTTTTTCCTTCGGCTTCAGTTTCAAGTAAAAGGGGTGTGGGGAGAGAAACATTAGAAATCTGGATAGCTGGATATCTGCAAGTTGTGCAATTATTTTTCATATCATACACCTGTGCTGAGAGAGAATCTTCCAGGTGTACTTTGGAAACCTAAAAATAAAGCCAAACATATGCTTGATGGAAAATGAGACAATTGTGAAAGGGGAGTTTGCAGGTAGCATTTGAAGAATTTCTTCTGAAATGGGGATACAATGTATAGCTAACAGTGAGGAAGGCTAATTAATGGCCCTTATAGTGTCACAATAATATGGTACTCTGAAAGAAGCTGCATAAAAAGAATATTTTATTGTTACCTTTGACTACACTTTCAACACAGATATGTAATTACCCTGCACTTTGGATCTAGGGTTGAACAAAAGGCAAGCATAATTTTATTGCCCGAAATCTGAGAGCTACTTATTAAAATAATTGAAGTGAATTAGCATTTGGTATGTTTATAAGATATGTTGTCGAGTGTTCATAGATGGGTGCAAATATGGTTGGGTTAGCAATAGCCCAAATGACTGCATCCTGGCTTTTAACAACTGCCAATAAATATTCATCAAGAAACTGCTTATAAATATCGTTAGCATAAGATAGGCTATCTTCTTTCAAAGACTTCAAGTGAACAGTTATTTTGTTTTTCATGCTATGGTGCCAATTATCCCAGAGTTTTCACTGAGAAATATTTTAGTTGCAATGTATACGTTTGCACAGTTTGGGCTCTCTTTATCAGTATGTACAATGTCACTCCTTGTTCAAGAAAAAATAGGCAAATATATATTTAATTTATGGAATTATATATGGAATATAATGGGTAGAACACTGGGCTGGGAGTCAGGTGGGATTTTTGATGAAGTGTTGACATTATTTTTGATTGCTAAGATACCTTGCACGGTCCTCCTCTCACACTTTTACACATGTGGAAATAAAGAATAACTCCAGAGGAGTCAATAGAGTGATATATTAGTGTGAAAATGATGTGAGAGGCGCAACAAGCCTATCGTCTCAAACAGAGCACTTTAGCATTGTGGGGTTACGGTGGCTGCTATTACAAGTGATCCTTGATACTACGGATATCTTTACAGTGTAAAGAACACTTCATTGTCTATATGTCACAAAGCTTGGTCCTATATAAATATACAGCAGAGGGTCTCCCTAACTAGCTACTTATATAAACCATCACCACCAACTGTAGTGTGTGATCATTAATGGATTTCATCTTCACAACACCACTGTGAGGTAAGGAAGTATTATCCTCATTTTACAAATAGGCAACAGGGCCTGTGGCAGAGCCAGGGGTTGACCAGTGAGCACCCCCCAGCACATTGGAAAGTTGTCGCCTGTAACTCCAGCCCCGGAATCGGTGCCTATACAAGGAGCCACATATTAACTTCTGAAGAGCCGCATATGGCTCCAGAGCCACAGGTTGGCCACCCCTGCCCTGGAGTGTCCCCAGTGTGTATAGCAAGTGCCAGATGAAAGGGAACTCACGTTTCCATGGAAATAAATTGTTCATAGAGAGGAACATGGTGAAATCAGAGTGAGAATCCAAGGTATGTTTAAATGGTGCTCAGTGGGTCAAGACCTTTACTAGTTTATTAACTTCTTGAGAGTTTCCTTATATACTTTTTTGGGGGGTAGGGGAGAAATAAGAAATAAAGAAATAAGAAAATATGTCCATTAAATGTACTATATAATAAAATAATAATAATAATAATTAATTAATAACAAAGTAATAATTTATATTTCCCTTAAGGAACAAACAAAGCCCCTGCCTCATAGCTCCCAGACAGTAGTACCACAATAGAAGACTGGAAGTGGATGGCTGTATAGGGGGTCTCACACAGGGTAGGACCTGGGCAAGCTGGGGAAATATAGGTAACAGTATATTCTCCTGTCATTCCTCCCTTCCCCACCCTGTAAGTTGGGGCAAGGGGTGAGAGTCGGGGGCATGTTGAATAAAGTCCTATTGAATATGCTTTGCACAGGGACTTCACAGCAGTTATGCTACCTGGGTAGTTGAAGTTAATCTGCCCATCTTGTCAGGATGGATTCTGAGGTCTGGATTTTGTCCTAGAAGGTTTACAAAAAAAAAAAAAAAAAAAAAGGTATTGGCATGAGTTAGCCATGCCATTTCCTATTCTTATGAGTAAAAAGTGCTTGGAGCTGAGAGTGCTACAGGTCCTGGAGCTCTGGGCCAAAAGAGATCAGTCCTAAACTAGAATAAAATGTGGGGTTAATAATTAGTTACATACCAGTCCATCCATTCCAACATACTGGCTCAAGACCAGCAATTTCAGAGAAAGAAGCAAGAAACCCTGCAGTGGACTGTTGTAATTTTATATAATATAAATACAATTTTCAACATTCATAGGGTCTACAATCTATGTATGTCCTTGGATGTGACTTTGAACTCTAATATTCTGATGAGTTATCTAGGCACATTGAAAACCGGTTTTCTGTTAGTTCTATCATGAACCAGTGTTTTGTATCCGTTCCTTGTCAGACTTTTTGGTCTTTGTTTTACCTCTTGTTCCTCTGCTGATTTTAGCCTCATTAAAAAAAAAAAAACTTTAAACATGAAAAGAGCTTCCTCTTAAAGGATGTTTCCTTTGAAATACAGCAACTAATACATAGTGTAATCTCTACCATAGCATGGCAGAGAGATAACCCATTTTAGAAATGCCAGGGCTGTTAATAGCATATGTTAAAGTGAATCAATACAGAAATTCAAATTGACAAAAAAAAAAAAAAAGTGGCCAATTAGACTCACAGGAGATAAGAATCATTGATATTGCAATTGTATGGGTTTTGATTTTATAGCTCTCTTTAACCATGTATGTTTTAAATATTTAACTGTAACCTGTCCATTAAATTATATGAGAATTAGGGTAAAGTAATAAAAAAACATCCTTAGCATTTTGCTCGGACTCCTCAGTATATACCAGATATATATTATATTAGTTTGTCAGTATTCTAATGGTAGTAAGGAGGTTTCTTTTGCTTTAGTTGATAAAGACTATAATAACAGTTATAGTCAATATGGTTAGTATGGGCAGTGAGGAATGGCTAGGATGGAGACATTTCTATTGGAAAAAGCACCGGTCCTGGAAAGGCTACCTCTAAATTTTTTCATGTTTAGAGTTTATTAGGGATTATTCTAGTGAAGATTAAGTACAGGTTTTTAATTTTAATATGCCTGTACATTTTGTATTCTAAATGAACAACTAACTACGCTGACTTGAGCAAGAGTAAGTTTTGGTTGACCTTCCCTCCTACAGCTCTGCAAATGTACCTCAATATAGATTTACAATCCTCCCTGCTATTCTAGTCCGGGGCTTCTCTTTAACAGAGACTTCCACAAATTGGAATGGAGCCTTTGGTGGGCCTGTGGCCAGCTTCTCCCACCAAATCTTTTGCACCAAGGATTTCCCAGTATAGGTGTGAGAAGCACTCTGAAGCACAACTGAGAGCATGAACACTTTGATCAGCAGAATACAATGATTGGAGACATGCTGTACTACTAGTGAGACAGGTGCTAGGATACATGGAGCACTATGCTAGGGATTTGCAGATTGGTCAATAAATCCAGCTGAAAGGAGAGCAGGTTGAGGGGAATAAGACAGTAGGGGAGGGAGCACCTTGTGCTGTGTTGACAGTTGTTCCTCTTGAAGGTTGGAGTACATCATACATGTGGGACCATGGGGGATGTTTCCGTCCATAACATGGAAGTGAACAGGGTTCATTTAATAAAGAACATGAGGAAATCAGTCTCAGCCAGGTTTACACAGCTCTACAGAATATGTGTGTGTGTGCCTGTGTCTAGAACACCTATCCAAACATGCTGAACACAACTCGGTATGTATATACCTAGGTAACAGATGGTAAATCTAAAGGGTTTTTTAAATGCTATTCTATGTATATCTTTGTTTTACAGGGGACTACGTAGTCATGTCAGTTTACTTTGACCTGAGCAGAAGAATGGGTTATTTCACTATTCAGACCTACATCCCCTGCACACTCATTGTAGTGCTGTCCTGGGTCTCTTTCTGGATTAACAAGGATGCAGTTCCAGCCAGAACCTCTCTGGGTGAGTTGCCGTGTCTTCCAGCATGTATGATATGATCTATGTATCTACCAGAGCTCCAGTATAGGAGCATATTCACATCCAGGCATGTGAATATGTGCATTTCTGAAATGTACCTGGAATATTTCATGGCAGTTTTTATCACATGATTTTATACTAGTGATGGGCAAACTTCAAAAGGCCCAAGTCTGGGCTTCTTTCAAGTAAACACCCCAAAAATTCAAACCAGCCTTTTAAGAATCTCCAAACCTCTGGATCTGGCAAAAGTTAGGAGGGAAACTTCATAGGAACAGAGTCCTCTCAACTATATATCAAATGAATTTTGAGATGTCATCAGAGTTCCTATCATAAGTTGTCCCAAAAGTCTCACATGCAATTCGTTACAATTAGCAATTTCTATATGAATTGGCTGATTGATAAACTAAGGGTAGGATAAATATAACTTGTTTCTGAGAAACAGTTGATGGCACTAAAAATGCAAAGTAAAATTATGTGGCTAGATGATAAAATTAAGGCCACCCACTTTTCACTTTCAGAGACCTGGATTTGAGTTCTGATAAGTAAAAATGTCTTTAGATTTGCCAACCTAATTTTCAGTTCTGCACAAAAACACAATACGGGTTAGCCAACACGATTGCAAAGATCTTTCCAATGGAGACTTAGAACTGGATTATCAAGGACTTGCAGGACAGAGCACTTTAAAATAATGTTGTATGTGTACAAGATCAGTAAGTGAATTCAATTATTTTTGAGATGTACAACATGGACCAGAGTCTCTATTGAGAACTAGCCTATTTGCACCACTCAGGAGGCTTAAAGGGACTAGAAATTGACCACAAATGGGCAGCAGAGAATTCCCCTGTTAGAAGGAAACTCCCTGTTGCAAATATGCTGGATCTTGGCTTTGTGCCAGTCATTCCCGTCCAAAGGGTGATGGGGTTCAAGGGTGGGACAATCCAGACCAGTGAGGGATTGTGTCACCACTGCCCTGCAACCCTGGGTGCTTCACAATGCTTTGCTGCTGGAGCTCCCAGCTTGGGATGTGCTTAGCCAAACTACCAACATGCAGATCACACCATGAGTGTCCATATTCTATACAGGCCTGGTTCAGCAGCTCTGACCACAGCAGCCTGTCTGCAGCCCCAGTCAGGCTTCCACCCGCTTTGGTTACAACCAGCAAGGTGACCCCAACACACTCCCAGTCCCAAATTTTCCCAGAACTGTGTTCTCTGCAATGTCCAACCCTCTCGGAGACAGTTCAGAGAAATAATAAGGTTCATTTTTTTCCTCTAATGACCCAAAAGCACATCACAACTTATTAACTTACCTGTGGTAAGTACACCCTTCCAATTAAACACAGCACAGAGTTGTGTTTTGTTTTGTATTTACAACACAAAACAAATATATCAACAATAGGACATAGACCTGTTTAACAACTCTCCCTGACCTTCCAGGATTACACACTTTAGTCATAATTCTAGCATACATACATCCAGAACTCTTAATACTGCACCACATACATACATCACAGAAGAACATTAATGATCTGTGAGTTATTAGTTTTCTTATGATACCTTACAAGACATATTTTGTACAAAGATTATTTCAATCATGTGAAGGGTGTGAATATCGATGTTCTTAGTGTCATACAAGGATCAGCAGAGTTTCTGTCATTTTGTATGTGGGTTTGGGGCTATTTCAACTGTGGGAAACCATCAGTGATGTTCACCTTCAACATTATACAGGAGAAGTCACTTCACATACATACAAGTTCAGTCTCTATTTGGTGATCAATGCTGGCTTTCAATTCTTGTGTGTGGATGAGCAGTTTTCTGTACTCAAAGTATATAGGTATTCATAATGTAAACTCAAAATATAAGAATGTAGGCAGGTGTGAAAGCTCAAGCCGACAATTATTTATTATTATTATTATTATTATTATTATAATTAGGGGTTTTATAATTAGGGGAAAATGGTAATTTCCCTTCTCTCTTCTAACAATTTGTTTGTATTTTCAATCCTTAAAAGCACAAATCTGGATTAAATTGTGGGTTTTTTTTTCTGTTAAATCTTTATGGGCCTGATCCAAAGCCCATCATAGTCTATGGGATTCTCTGGATGAAGCCTTATAGAAATTCTGATTTTGCATCCAAAACTTTAAAATTATAGGATAGTCCCACAGACAATGGATTAATTACAATTAAGGTGAATTGTCAGAATTATAGTGTGGATAGTGAGGTGCAAGTTTCCCCACATATTTGACTGCTATGAAGAACAGAGGCAAACCCCAATGAAATCAGCAGGAGTTTTTCCACCATCAATGGGCTTTGGATTGCATCCTTAATCCTTCATTTAATGAACATCAAACTCATTCATATGAGATATTCATATGAGACGTTAAATATAGGTCTTGGCTTTTCGTTGACATTTAAGATTCCAGCCCCGTTTTTTTCACTCTTTTTTTTCATAATCCTTCCTTGAGAGATTTTAGGCATTTCCACCTCTTGTCATAGCTGCAAATACTTTTCTTTGGGTATTTCAGCACTGCCCAGAAACTGAAAATGAAGGAAACTTATTTCAACAGTAAAGAACCTTCAAAAAGTTCAGTTCTAAGGAAGGACAAAGTTGTTGAGGATGATCTCTTTTTCTCAGTTGAGTTTGGCTACCTCTGCTGAAAAGTTATCTTTTTTCCTAATATTCTTCAGGTGCTACAGCATGCGAGTTCCATTGTAGGAAACAATGTATTGTAATTCGTATTTCCTGTGACTGCCTGGAGTCTCTCACTGAATACACAAGTCCCTCAGTGCTTAGCATGCTCCTTTTTAACACTCGCATTGTATGTCAGGACTCCAGGCCATCCTTCAAAACCAGTCAGCATGTGGCAAGTGACAGAATTACTTTGTCACCTCAAATAGTAACATTTCTTTTGTTCAATTCTGTCTCCTTACCAGGTATTACAACTGTCCTGACAATGACCACCCTCAGTACAATTGCTCGTAAATCTCTTCCCAAGGTCTCTTATGTGACAGCAATGGATCTTTTCGTGTCAGTTTGTTTTATTTTTGTTTTTTCTGCACTGGTGGAGTATGGGACCCTACACTACTTTGTCAGCAACAGAAAGCCAAGCAAGGATAAAGACAAAAAGAAGAAAAACCCAGTATGTATTGTTTTACTATCAAGACTGAAAACTTCCCTATATAAATCTCAATTATGTTTTCTGAGAGAGCATTTAAATCCTACTTTGTGTTTGTCTTTTCGTTATACTGTGCTATAGCTGTAAACCGTTCACAGACGTAAATGGGAATACGAACTCAGTCAGCCATGGGGAATGAATATATTACAGGTGTCTGGGAGCCTAGAGATTGATTTCTTAGTGGCAGGCTCCAGCTAACCAAAGTGTTCTGAAAGATACAACTATTACCAAAACCGTGCCTTCATGTTATGGTAAATAGAGTCACTGATATGAGAATCAATTTCTCTGTCTTAGCTCTGCCCATATCTTGTGACCCATATACAGTGACTTCCTGTTTGTACACTGAAATAATTATCTTTTCTTTACTGCACAAGACAGATTTAAAAATTCAGCTATTCTACTTTTTATTGCTGTCCCCATCTTGTTGCATAATTATCAAAACTTCTGGTTACAATGGGAATTTCCTCCATTAGATTCATTCATGTAGGGAAAAATACCTGTTTATGTACCATTATTTCCTGGGGAATGACAAAGGCAAAGCGAAGAATACAGAGCACTTGAGTGTTTAATTTTTATTTTCAAAGCACAAAATGTATTTCTTGCAAATCCCTGTCTCTCTTTCCTTTCCATTCTTTCCTTGTTTTATTTTCCTTACTGTACCCTCTCTCCTGAATCCCTTTTTTTATTTCTTACCTCAGAATGTGATTCTATTAACACTTGTAGCGTTACCTGATAGCAGTAAAAAATATATGATAACAGCCTTTAGAACAGCTGCAGTGAAGGCCATTGGAAATCCCCTGTTGTCAGTGCAGTATTTGCAGACTATTTGGTTTCAGTGAGGTTGGTACCTTACCCTTCTATGCTGAAGCAAAACTCTGTTCTTCTAGAGCAGGGGTCGGCAACCTTTCAGAAGTGGTGTGCCGAGTCTTTATTTATTCACTCTAATTTAAGGTTTTGCATGCCAGTAATACATTTTAACATTTTTAGAAGGTCTCTTTCTATAAGTCTATAATATATAACTAAACTATTGTTGTATGTAAAGTAAATAAGGTTTTTAAAATGTTTAAGAAGCTTCATTTAAAATTAAATTAAAATGCCAAGCCTCCCCGGACCAGTGGCCAGGACCCAGGCAGTGTGAGTGCCACTGAAAATCAGCTCGCATTCCACCTTTGGCATGCGTGCCATAGGTTGCCTACCCCTGTTCTAGAGCAACAGAATCTAAGTGTGTGTGGGAGAGAGGGAACCAAAAGAGACAAAATATAAAAAGAAAGAAAATGCATTTGAAGTTTCTCCTCTGCATTCCCTCTACACACACTCACAGTACATGGAGTACACCAATGGAGATTTTCAAATGTACCTAAGGGACATTTTCAAATGTACCTAAGTCAATTGGACTTGAGCACCTAAATCCTTTAGGCACTTATAGTGCATAGGAGAGCAAATACACAGGAGAGCAAATAAAGAATAACATATTTTGTCACTGAAATGCACAGTTTTATCTTATTGTAAATAATTTTGTTATAACTTCATTCCTTAAAAGCTTGTCAATGATCTGCTGATATACCAAAAAGAACAAAACAAAACATGAATTTGTTTGTGCTGGATAAATAACCAAATGAAGAAGTCATGTAAACAGTAAAGGTTTGTGGGCACCTGGGGACATTTACAACTGTTTTCTATAGTCCAATAGAAGATTAGTTTTTCTTTCCTGAAATCAGAAGTAGGGATGGGCCTGATATTAAATCAACACTCAAAGAAACCCTGAACATTAGGGTGGAGAGTTGAAGGGCCAATTTCCAGTAGCAGAGACTTTGGCCCCAAATGTAAATCCAAACTTTGCAGATAGCCTCTAATTGTAAAATGGGATGACCCAAATGACAGCTCTTAATTCCCCTGAACAATGAAAAGATTGAAACCAGGTTCTCTATTTTGTGGCTTTGTCCACTTTAATTACATGTTACCGAGACGAGAGAAATATTTTCTCATCCGTATTATAACAGAGTTTCTTATTTAAAAGGCTGTCCCCCTTTCCTGTTTATAATTTATTTATTTTTTTACTTACTACATTTTTTAAAAGTATCTTTAATTTATATTATTTTTGTCTCTTTCTTCCTCTTCTTTCTTTCTTTTTAAAAATTCTGATTCTCTTTTCTGTCTACAAAACAAAAGCTTCTTCGGATGTTTTCCTTCAAGGTATAAAGTTTTTGGAATGGAAATTTACTGCATGCGACTGCTGAATTTAACTATTAGAGCTTAAATGAGATTATTCCTTTTTAATTAGACATTTAAGCATTCTACTCAGGGCAACATCCTAAATAAGTAGAATGGCTACAGATTTCTAAACAAATTTGTAGAGTTGATTCAGCAGCCCGAACCCTGACTCACTTACGGTTTTGAACTTGAAGTTCAAGAGAGCCCAACATTTTTGGATCGCATGAGTTAAGAGAGCCTAATGTGTTTAAAGCATCTGTATTGCTCTCTTTATCAATTACCCATGGGATCCAATACCACCAGCCACACTAAGCACCAGTAATGCACCCTTTTAGAACTCAACTCTGACCCCCTTTAACTTTTGTGATCTAATTTAAATAAACAAAACCAAAATCTCTTCTAATGATGAGCTGTTCAAAATTCACTGCCATCATTAATTACCCCTATGGTGTTCTTATGCCTAATGTCAGAGTTTTGAAAGGGTTTTAAATGCATACATTTTCTAATACTGTCACTGGATCCACATGCTGTTGTTATCCAAAGTAGCAAATATAGATAGCTGTATACTACATCTGACTCTGATCTTCATTCAGAAATGCAGAGATTGAGTTCCAGGGGGAAAAAATTAAGAAAGTCTAAGCTGAAGCGAATAAAATTGACATATTCTGTGGAAATTGACCTGTCGTAATTTTCTAGAATCATAAAAAAAAAATGGCCAGGTGTCAGCCAAAAGTTTGGATGGCATGCGTTATGCAATGCTATGTTCACCAATTGCTCAAAATAGTTGAAAATGCCTAATTAATTCAACTTATAGCAAATGTACATATATGTACAGCTACTGTATACAGTGTTGGACATGTAGAGGCTTCTAGATGGTGAACAATGGTAGATGCTGAGCTGTATGGATTAATAAAAGCAAACTATTGGAGACTGTTCAAACCTCTTGATTCAGGAGAACCATTTAACATTCTCTTCGCTCTTTTCAGCAAATTACAGATATTTGCCAATGCCTAACCAGGGACACACTTTTATTAAAGAAAATCCTGCATTTCCAGTTGATTCCTGCAATTCCTTTCATGTGCAACACCAATAATTGTCTTCATATGTCATGCAACGACTTAAAATATAAAAGGCAAAAGCAATCCAAATTGCCATTAACTTGCATTCCTGAATGTTTCCTTTAACCTCTAAAGTTTAATTTATTTGGCACTAAACCTACCTACTCATATTTATTAATATGTAATATTAATCTGCATTGCTTATCTCAGAATTTAAGCTATATATATGCAAATATTCTTTTAATAATTTAAAATTAAGGATTTACTATTAGAGCTCCTTATACTTTAGCAAGTCCCTATTTATCCCTAAATACCCCTATTTGCATAGACTGACCATTAGTCTAAATCAAGTTTTGTTACGAAGATTGTAACAATCTCTTTCTTCCTGCTCCCATATTTTGTCCCTCATTCATCACAGGCACCTACAATTGATATCCGACCAAGATCAGCTACTATTCAAATGAACAATGCTACACACCTCCAAGAAAGGGATGAAGAGTATGGGTATGAGTGTCTCGATGGCAAGGACTGTGCCAGCTTTTTCTGCTGCTTTGAGGATTGCCGAACAGGGGCGTGGCGGCATGGAAGAATACACATCCGCGTTGCCAAAATGGACTCCTATGCCCGCATCTTCTTTCCAACTGCCTTCTGTTTGTTTAACCTGGTGTACTGGGTATCCTACCTTTACCTTTAAAATCAGAAAGGAAATAGGTGATATGAGCCTTACTCACTGAATTTCTTAGAGAGATGGTTTCCTTTTGAAGTCCACTTAAAGTATTTATGACACGCTTTATAGTGGTCTGAATTCTCTAGTGCCATAACCCAGTAAATATCAACCATATCATATTGTTCATCTAAAACTATCATATAATTATTGTGATTTAAATGATTCCATTCAATATGTTTAAGTGATTTGAAACAAGAAATAAAACAGGTAACATGCAGCTCTCCCAGCTGGAATAGAAACAAATAGAGCAGTATTGGGGAAAAGGGAGGGAAACATGCCAACTTTCAGTAATGATTGGATATTGTCATTTCAATCATGAGTGACTGAGGCTAGAATTTCAAGGTAAAGTATTGTACAGTTTGTTAGCATCTACTATAAATATGCTATATCTTTGTCCTCTGTGGGCTTTTCTTTTTGGAAGAGTCATCTTTCACCTTTCACTTCAAATAAATGTTACTAGGCTAGCAAAGTAACTTTCCCTCTCAAATAAAAATAGACATTTCACTATGCCATCCTTTTAAGAACACATGTACAATGCTGTAAATATTTCAATACCTTGTAGTACTTAAAGTCTCTAGTGCATGCATCTCTTTTGGCCAAAATAAATGAAGCAAAGGTACCATAAAGTATTGTCTTTTATTTTGTGTCTCTGGCTGTGCTATTGTAACTGAAATGTGGATATTTTTTTTTCCCCTGGAAGAATTGCCCCTTTCCCTCATGCATGGAAGATTCAATCAGACAACAACACTTTCATGTAAGACTTTAGAGAAGCCTTAAGGATTGAAACAAATAACAAATAGACAGAACAATCTGTATGACCAATATAATACTTAGTTTATTAAGTAACTGTATATGTTTGCTGCTGTTTTAGCCCTCATTTTCCAATGATAACATTGTTATGTCTCAACTGAATTTACAATTATTATACATTGCAAGATCATTTGTGGTCTTTTAATACATACGTTTTTAGTGAATCTTTTCCCATATTGAGCCTGAACTTTGATTATTCTTCTCACACAGGGTGTTTCGGGGAAATAGATTGTAAGCTTCTTGGAGCAGACACAATCTTTTTGTTGTGTGTTTGCACAACACCTAACACACTGGAGTCCTGGCCCATGAGTAGAGCACCTAAGTGCTACAGTAATACAAAGATACTAATAAATAAATAATAATAGTAATAATACACAATCAATTTGAATTAATCAGAAGGATTAGAAACAGTTTTGATTCTTACCAATCCCAACAAATATTTACTTTCTAGGCAAACTTCAGGTTCATTTTGGTTCATTATACTTTGCACTATGTATACACCTATCATTCATCACCCATTCATGTTTCTGAACAGCAATATTAGTCAGTGCTGCTTTTTGCTCTGTGCGTACCTTTCCAAAAATACAGACTCTAACCCCGTCTAGCACACAATTTACAGGTAGCCTTGAAACAATAAAAGGAAATGAAGAGTGTCTTTGCTAATAAATCATATGTGCATAGCTTATGTGTATTAAAAACTATTTAACCCACCTGGGTGAATCTTGAAACTCATTTAGCCAGTGGTTTTCAGAACCTGTATGATGCTCAATTATGCAACGTTAAGCACATGTAAATATTACTGACATTTTTTTTTTTATTGTCAAAGATGTAAAATGTCAACTCTAGAAAAATGGGTTTGGAGTTTGCAATGAGAGATGTATATGTATGTTATTACACAATTACTAATAGATTATATGGAGACATAAGGACAGTTTTCCACTGTTTGTATAGTTTTGGAAATAAACATGTATAGAAAGGTATAACTAATTCTTGATCATCAATTGTTCCTTGCCCAATGTATTTGACAACCTTTTAATAAAGGAACTGCACACACTAGTGGACTTTTTCAATAAAATTGCTGCACTCCACTCTACAGTATCCTTGTGGTTACTTTGTTAAAAGTAGCTTAAAGCATATTAGAACAGTATTACAGTTTGCTCTTGAGAAGGCTTTATTTTTAAACTGGCTAGATTGTGAAATAATAATGATTTAGCCCCCAATCCGGAAAGCATTTATACATGTGCTTAACTTTAAGCATGTGAATAGGCTCTTTGACTTCAAAATGAGAAAATGAGCTTTTGAAGAAGTGTTTGCAGGATCAAGGCCTTAAAGTAGATCACCGCTTTAGGTTCACCCCACTCTTGAAAACCAATGGAACGGATGTATTGGTCTAAAAAAGGATACTAGTTTGATTCTCCATCTGAAAGTATGACTACACAAGGTGCGTGGCAGGAGCAAATCAGGCCAAATATTGACCAAAATAAAACTATTATGATTTAGGATTTACTATACCAGAACAGATCACTCACCATCATCAAGTCTGGCATCCTTTTTTCAGTAGTAGACAATAACTATTTTAAATAAAGGCTAATACATTCCCATTTCAATAATGCATCAAGCCTTCAAGTGTGTACAGTGATACAAGTGAAGAAAATATCCCTTTCAGGATGTTGTGGTAACCATATTAAATCTGAAGCATGAGATTTGAATATCCTTATCTCAGCATGTATAGCTACAGGAAGGAAAGAAAACAACCATCTCAAACACTGCCTAACAGCCAGGATCCTACTAGCCTTAATTGGGCTGAGTACTAACTTACTCCTCAAGGAACCTGATTAGTTTCACTAGGACTATTCATAGACTAAGGCACTAGTCAGCAGTAGTAAGGGAAACAGAATCTGGCTCAGAGTGAGCAGGAATAGACACGTTCCTCTGAACATGTGCTCCACTGCTTATTCAATACAAGCTCAAAGGTAACCTTTGTATTGTAATGTTAGGCTACCAAAGCAAACATGAAGCAACAAGCAAAGTGACATTTCAATGGACTCAATGAAGGTTTTTCTGCTCTCCACAGAGATCTGCTGCAACAGAAAATAGCCAGCTGTATTCCAGGGAAGCGCTTTGCCTGTTGACTGAATACACTTGCTAAAATACATTCAAGCCCAATATGGCACAGGCTGCCACAGTTGCATTGGGACACCCTTGAGGAATGTCCATATGGTAGGTAAGAGCACGGCCAAGAATTATTATTTCTTTGTTATTTGTATTCTGACAGTGCCTAGTGCCCCCAGCCAAGATAAGGCCCTATTGTGCCAGTTGCTTACAGATGAATAGCAAGAGAACTTGTCCGAAAAAACTTGAAACTTTGGTAGAAAAGGCAGACAAAAGGAGCATTATTCTTATCCCCATTTTACAGATGGGAAGCTGACACAGACAGAGTGACTGAATTTATGTTTTTACCATTATTAATGATAAATGAAAATTCAGTTCAAAATTGTCCTTGCTTTGGGCTCACTCATCCCACCTGCCTCTCCGATCTCATTACCCACCATCTTACATTAATTCTCCCTCAGCAGCATCCTGAATAGCCTGGAGAGGAACAAGGTAGCAATAGTTGAGGACACAAATGTGGAGGTGGCAGTAATTAAGATATGAATTGATGAAAGCATGGGCAAGGATTTAGGCTATGTGGCCATGGAAGAAAGGCCAGATTTTAGAAGCAATATGTAAAAAAAATCAGCAACGTTTATAATTGGCCTGAATATGCGGGTCCAGTGAGAGGACCAAGTGAAAAATGAAACCAAGTTACAGGCTTGTGTAACTGGGTGGTTGGTGGTGTCATCCATGGTAAATAAATAACAGATTTTACATACCATTTGATGAAGAATCCTCACACACAGAGGGCAGAATTCAACTATATAGATGTATTTGTAATGAGAATAAAGCAAATGCAAGAAGCACAAACCAGACCAGTCCTAACCAAAGCCTAGGAGAAATAATAATATTTTAAAATGTCTGTATTATCCTTAATAGAAGATTTCAAACTGCTTTTCAAACAATGATTAATTAAATCTCAGGGAAGCCTTCACAGGTTAATAAGTATTATTATGTCAGTTATTGGCCTAATCCTCCTCCCATAAAAGTCAAAAGCAACGTTCCCAATGATACCCACTTTGGATGCTCACATTCAGCATATACAGAGAATTCCATGAATGAAAAGCTCTGAGTTCCCAGCTGACACATCATTGAGGGGTTTTTTTGTTTGTTTGTTTGTTTGTTTTTTAATTGCAGTGTTTTTTGGTATACAATGAAAAATGTAGAAGAGACAGTTCATGAGCTTTGAGGCATCTTGAGTACTAGGGTGTGAACACTGTGCTACAGTTCTGCTTACAAGTTAACACCCTTTTGAATAATAACCGATGAAGTAGGTTTTAGCCCACAAAAGCTTATGCCCAAATAGATTTGTTAGTCTCTAAGGTGCCACGAGGACTCCTCGTTGTTTTCACTCCCAAGTGTGAATTTCTTCAGAAAAGTAAGTAAGATTGCTTCTTTTATAGAAAAAAAATCTGAGGACAGCAAGAGTGCAAAAGCATCTCTCATTTTGCCTTATTTAAAATTAATATCTGTTATCAAAACAAGAAAGAAAGGAAGAAAGAATTAACAAAGATTTAATTCACTCAGTAGCAAAGCACATTAAAAGTATTGATCTTCACACCAGGCACATGCTTTGTGCTGCTAGCATAATGAAATCTATATCTGCTAAGACCTAGTTTTATCCTATTAACACTCTGTTTTTCTTTACAGTTTAGAGATGAGATGAGATCTGTAAGATGAATGATCAATGCCATCTTTTTCTTTGGAGAATGAGGTAGAGCTTCAGAAAACAAATCACCTTAATTGATTCACAGGGGGAAATGCTGATCCTTTGTCATTTCATTCCTAACATTCATATGATGAACATACATAAAATAATCCATCTATCTGGTTACTGGTTACTAATTGCAGGTTTGCCCATAACAATATTAACTTAGATGGGCTATAAACTGGCTTCTTGGAATGCAGAGAGGTTTGTTCAATAAGGGCTCCTTAACAGTGTGAAAGAAGTCTTGCCATTTATTGGGTCCACTCCTCTTTCCCTCCCCCAACAGTCACATGCAACCAATGCATCTCCAGTGGCAACTCTTGTTGTTCCTTACAGCTATAATGAATCTTCTGCACTTAACAATAATAATAATAACTTAATTTTATCCCTTGAAACAATACTATGAAATAAGTTTTGAGAAATAATAGGTGA